CCCCGGCCAAGAGCCAGAGTACGCAATATGGTCTGAACCCAGCAGGAGTTAAATCTTACTATTGATTGTCTCTTTCCAACCCGGCTATGCTCCAGTGAATTAACATGAATTACATTGCTGAGAAGTTGGGAGAAATGTAACCAGTCTGCAGGGAAGAATAGAAACACAAGTTAAAGGCTGTGCACTTAAAATATTTATGCTGTGAGTGAACATGTATTTAAACCCTCTGAATTTCAAATATTTATGTATGCAGGGGGACAAAATCTAATATTAAGAAAAATGTATTAAAAGTTGCCAAAGGCACTTTTCTTCATTAGCAAAGCTGAACACCCACAGATAGCGGTGGTGGCGGCTGTTGTCCAGAATGCATCTGTGCATTCACTGGCACCAGTTTGCAAACGCTGCTTGGATAAGAATATGCTCTGTTTTACACCACAGATCAAATCATTTGCAAACAGAGGGATTAAAATTGGAGTTTTGTGTGGGCTTGATCCAGTGGACAAGATGGGTGCCTCTAAAACAAACCTCTGTAAGATGATGTGTCTGCATTACCTAGAATTCTGAGTAAGGTGCTTGCACACGCAGTGTTAGAAATCTGTGGTGTAGCTGTGTTTTCCTTGAGTTTGGTTACCAAACGCAGCTTGATATTTAAATAAACGCTGGTTCTCATGAACAGACAGCGCATGGATCCCCACCACACACACAAACCCTTTATGCTGTGATTTATGCACAAATCATCTTAATGAGAGTTCAGCAGAGATGTGCCAAATCACAATTTGTGTTCACAACAAATCATTTGTTAATCATGGTGCAATCAAGAAAAAGCAGCCACCCATGTTAATTGTATTTATTTCTATAGTACCACTTACTCTACATGCTCAGGGATTGTGTGAATTGGTCCTCCATCTCCTAACCATCCAAAGACTTGTGGATTTTCAGGAAAAGAGGAGAAGCAACTTGAATATATAATTTTGGTCCAAGGACTCAATGGCTGAGTTTAGATGGTCTGCAAAGGTTTTATAAACCATGGTTTATGGAGGTGCGGATGAGCACCAAGGCTGTTTGCTCCTCACTCATCCCTCCTCTACACTGCCATCCTTCTATTGCACTCTGGGTTCGGCATTAAGCAGAGTTTCCTGTTATATCTGAGACCCAGGAACTCAGGGTTCATGCCAGTTAACAAACCAGGAAAATAAGCCAGGATCATAGACAGAACAGATGTCACATCAGCCTGTTCAGATGCAACAGGGAACCCTGGCTTAACTCAAAACAGGCTCTTAATGCAGAAGCCAGCACAACAGGAAGAGGGCAGGAAGGATTAAGAGAAGGGCACACAGTTATGGTGTTCATTCACAGCTTCGTATGCCATGGCTAGGAAGCCTTTGGCAATCATCTGAATGCATCCACTGGGCAATGGAGATAATCTCCAATAACCATTCTGTTTGAGCATCATGTCATAGGAAGCTACAGACAAGAGCTTAGGAGTGGGATCTTTGGCCCTCCAGATGTTGCTGAACTACTACTCCCAACAGCCCTTGCAAACATAGCTAATGGCCAGAGATCATGGAAGTTGTAATTCAAAAACTTCTGGAGGGCTAAAGGTTCCCCATGCTTGATGTAGCCCCCGCGGCTCTCCAGAACCTTTGTCTGAGAAATCTCCCATCACCTGCTATCTGATCCTTTTCTCTGGAGATAGTAGGGACTGGACATGCTCAGTAGCCAATGATGCGGCCAGGCTGTGTTGCTTGCCAACCTCCCTCCTGCCAAGTCACTGCTGCATGCCATGACAGAGAGGGTAGTAAGATTGGTGCAGTGCAAACATGCCGTTGGAGCCAATCTGGTGCTCCTGCCGGGACATGTGCACCATGCTGCCCATGCTTCCACTTCATTCCTTTCTGTCACAGTATGCAGCAGCAGCAATTTGGCCAGGTAAGCAGCACAGCCCCACTGCACCGTCTGCTACGGCGCTAATCCAAACTTTTAGTCCCAAAACTCAGCTTCATTTAAACTGAAACACTGAATTTAGCAGTGGATTTCAGGAGCTGCGAGTCTTCCTCCATCAGAAGACTATTGATCTCATCTTCACGTGTTGAAAACAAGCATCGCCTCACTGTAATTAATGATTCCTCGGCAGTTTCCACCAGGTATGTCTTTTGAAGAGCGTTGGTTGTGCTCCAGCAGCAACTCTACAAACACATGCCGTGGAAACCACATCGGCATAGTTAATTTGTCCTCTGACATCTAATTGATACAAATATGATTGATCTAACCATTTTATTTTTATTTTTAAAACTGTCCCTCATGCTGGCTGGCAGACACATTTCACTGGCACAAAAAAGGGAGAAAGATATGAAAGTTTTGTGCTTTCAAAGAATGACCTTTCCTGATAATTAATTTGCTGTTCCCAGCACCATCTGCTGTCTCGCAGCCACATCCATCATTGCTGTAAAAAAAATTAAAGCTCAATTAAAATGAAAACTGGTGTCACAAATTTGTCAGGGGAAGGCACAAAGTTCTGAGCAGCAAAGCCATTTGACCCCTCCTGGAGGTTTACAGCTGGGCCCACTTCACAGGATTTACGATAACCTATCATAAATACAAAGGGCTCTGGGGAGTGCCTTAACTACCAGCACATTTCTAGGGTGTGTTTTGATCAAAGATGACATTATTGACTGGGATGATAACCGGGAACGTGTCATAAAACTTGGGTGAAATTCTATAGTTGAACGTGTTTGCATTGAGCCGCTGTCAGCCAAAGCAGATGAGGAAAACTCTTTTAAGCAGCCCACGTCTCCAACCCCCTTGTATCTGGAAAGCAGAGAGAATGCTCAGAATCCGTACGCAGCAGGAGAAATGTTCCTTGAAATAAAGAAAGAAAGAATCTGCTATTTATTTGTCATTTATTTTAGATACGTCTGCCCTACGCTTTGGTCGACAAGGCTTCCAGAGCACCTTACAAATGCAATCAAGGATAGATGCAACCAATAATAAATAATTGAACCAAACAGATAATCATAATAAAAGCAGCAGTTAGGGCCAACATCTAAAAGGTTTTTAAAACCCAGCATAAAATGCAGGCTACTTTAGAAGGCTAAGATGAATTCACCTGGCACTAAAATAAAATAAAATAAAATGGATACCAGGTGAGTCTCTCTGGCAACCTCTTATGGACAGGGGAAATAACCCAGCTGCTATTAATCAGAACTGAGATATATTTGGAAGCCTTTGTGTCCAGAGTTGTGGCTTCTCCAGCCAAACTCCATTGTGGTTGCTTCTTCCCCTAACAATGGGATAACACTGAGGGAGTCACCTTTGGAGTCAATGCGTGTCCTCTGTTGGTCATCTGCACTCAGACAGTTCCACTGTACACTGTATCAAGAAATGGAAGTGGCTGACTGATTAGATAGATAGATAGTCAGTCTCAGAGGAAGTTTGCTACCTTCATACTTTGAAGCATTTTCCCACTCACCTCAGGGCTACACACACTCACTTAGACTAATGAAAGGAAGAAAGCTGAGATTACAGTTTCAAGTGTCTGGGCTTCAAAGAATAGCCCCCCAGGGCAATAGTTCAATAACAGAATGAAATGCAGACTTGGAAGATCTACCCGTTTGTAAGTAACTTTTACCATGTATGTACAAAGCATTAAATAGAAAAGGTTCATCATAAATCAGTGTCATGTATGTCTAGGCAAAGTAATCCATGAAAAAAAAGAATGAATTGCACACTCCAGATGATGATACATTGAATTAAAAATGTTTATTTGGCACAGCTTTGTGTAAGTAATGTGAGTTATCATTTCTGACAGTGGTAAAGATTTAACTTTCAGAATCTCAGTGTTTACATAATTATGGAGTGACACCTTAATTTTCTGTAATACTTAAAAGATATGGGTAAGTGGTTAAAAAAAAAAATGCTTAAAAGCTGTAATTTTCCACAATTCATCCAAACTGATAAACACTGAAAGACTTCCTTTACAAACAAACATGGATGTACTCTCTGTTGGTATGAAATTCTACACAGCCTAATTATAGATATTAAGACTTAGCAAATTAAGTAACAGGAAATCAAGCCAGCTACTCTAGAACACAGAGAATGGTCGACAAGATTCACAGGCCTGAAGCCTGGCCCATGTTCTACAGCAAGGAAAGGAAACCCCTTCTTTCAGCCCATGGCCACATTTATTCATGGACAACCTTCCAGGGAGTGGGGGCACATGTCCGTGGTGCTCAGGACCAGATACAACACTGGGCAGAGCATGTGTGGCAGGCTACATTCCAGCCAAGCAAAAGTCACAGGTTTCGACACAGCCACCTCTGCAACCTCTATCCAGTCAAGCAAGAGGCATCATCATGCATTTGAGCCAGACAACAGGCAAGGAGCACATTCAGTTGTGCTCTGGGGACAATGCTGAGGGCTAGATAGAGGGGCTTGGAGGACCACATTTGGCTTTCAAGTCTGAGATTCCCCACCCCAGTTACCCAAAGTAAACTTGGGTTTGTCAGCAAGTATATACTCAACAGGGAGCTACAGCCAAGCCTGGCATTCTGATGCATATACCTCTACATCAGACACTTGTATTTGCAAACATATTTGTTGCATTCACACTGTACATTTTTAAGATGTGCTCCAAAATATGTAATGTTGCATTAAGAGACCCTTAGCAAGAGCTTTGTCACTAAGATGAAAAGGCCATTCCTTGAATTCAAATGGCGTTGTGAGTGTGTACAATTATTTAGGATTGTGGATCAAACATTTTAACAAAATCACTGGGAAGGAGGCGAGGAAAGGGATGGGGATGAAAGCACAGCCCAGAATTCCCAGTGGCAGCAACCAAGGGAAGCAACGCTCCTTGGAAACTCAGGATTCTTACCTGGTATGTGCAACAAAACCATTTCTATGTTCCTACATTTCCAATCAATCCAATGTATTCAAGGGCCATGAATACTGACAAGGGCTGTTGATGTCATTAGGAGCTGGTAATGGTTATATAAAGGCCAATGAGATCAGACCAGAGAGAAGAACAGACAAGGGGAATCTGCAGAGCACTGTTCCACAGACAAGGAGGCAGCACGTTCACTAGGTAAGCATTTCTGCCCATTCATTTCTATGCAATGTAAATCTTCCGTGGAGAGACAGTGGAGTTTAGGGATCTCAGATGTCTCTGTATATGGGTATATCATTCTGTTTTGTGACCCAGAATGTTCACTCTGTAAGCCCAGGACAATTGAACAAGAATGGGCTTCTGTGTTCTTTCCCTGTGTGAATAATAATTTAAAAAACCATTTTCGATCTCTGTGCAATGTAAGCATATTTTAGAAAATCCTTGAAAATGCACAGATCTTCTGTGCAGGCTCAAATTATGGGTGAATTTCACTCTAGTGATGTCAAGAAAGGCTACCATTATGTCCACACCAATATTATTACAATGATTGGGACTCTGCAGTTACAACGTCCCATCACATCTGCATCTTCTCAGTGTCACAGTCCACTTTTGTACCTGATAAATTAAATCCTTACCTATAAAAGCTGATGCCTCATTAAAACAGAGTCTCTGGCACATACGTATTGCTTTTCTATACACTTAGCTCTTCTGCACTTTCCTTGCTTGTAGTTATAGCCCCCTCCATTGCCTAAATGGTCTTCTGAGCAGTTTATAAGAATAGAAACCATTTTAAAGCAACTATCACATTGCAATGAGGGCTGTGTTTAATTTTGGACAGAAGGTCAAATCCAAATATGACTTTTTATTTTATCATTTTTGGAAAGCTACTTGCATTCCCACATTCGCCCCCTCCCCCCCCATCCCTTACAACAGGTATGGGGAAGCTGTGACCCTCCAAATGTTATTGCTGGATTCCAGCTCCCATTATCCATGACCATTGGCCAAGCTGGTTGGGACTGATGGGAGTTGTAGTCCAGCAATACCCAGGGGGTCACAGAATCCCCATTATCATTCACTGTTCCCAGAGTTTCTATGTCCCATTCTAAGTAGCAGGCACTGCAGTAGAGAAGGGAAATAACAAACTCCACATTATCATGTAATGCATCTTCTTTAATTAAAATCACCCGGGAGATCTGCAAGGCAATGTGAATTGGCAGCAGCCACACATTTGTGATGCTATGTCGTTTAGCCCCAACACTAAAGCTATATCCAGGCATTTGCCTGAGCACGCAAAATGTTAAACCAGGGAAATGTTAAACTGCTGATGAGGGCAGGGGCATGCATGAACTTAAGTACCATCCCCAGTGTCCTCAGGCACAAGCAGGTTGTGCTTCAGATCTTTGCATGATTAGCATGAAGGTCTGAGAAACCTCCATAAGAGTGAGAATCCTGACTTACCACCGTTTCTGATCATGGGGAGAGTTTCTGCTGACTGAACATGGCTAATGTGCGTGGCACTTCACAGAGCACAATAGCACAGGTCCCAGCTGCCCCAAGGAACATACAATCTGAAATCCAACACAGGGGGAACAATAGGGGAAGGCAAGGCAATCATAAACAGAGAAGCAATGTGCAACTCTTTCAAGTTACAGAATTTGGAAAAAGAAGAAAACAGACTATCAAAAATTGCTTAACAGTAGGAACAATATTGGTCCAAAATAAATGTGATGTTTGACACATTGCTTGCCCTTGCATGGTTGATTTTTTTCCTCAACAAAAAGCTGAACTGGGGGACCTTGACATTATGGGCAGAGACCTTTAACCCTTTGCCCCCACCAGTTTCCCACTTGGAATTGTTCACCCCCCCACACCTGCTATTTGCAATAGGAAGAAACCCCTCCTTGACACTGATGGGAGTTTTCCTCCCATTGCAAAAGACAGGCATGGGAAACAGTCTGATTTCAACCCCAGGCCATGGTGTGGACAAAGGGTTAACACTCCTGTGCCTCCCTGACATGGTCCGAATTCAGCTCTCCCTCCCCAAGTTCCCTATTTGTTAAAGAAAAATGAACCTGGCAAATGTTACATCTAGTTTGGCTCCCCAATTCTAATGTTTCTGGGTAGAGGAGAAATAAAAGCAAATGTTTAAACAAAAGAGACAGTGCTTCCTACAATTCCTTCTCTGCCTCCACATTAATTTCCCCCTTGTTTTGTACCGATGTGCACGATGACACCTGAAAAAAATGGTCAGAGAAAGGGAATCAGGCCCCGAAGATGTCCAATTTTGAATCACACCTTTTCAAAATGTTACCAGTGCAGCTAATTTACAAACAGCAAACACACTATTCGCCTTGGGAGGCACCAAGCTGCAGTGTTAATGTTTGAAAGACGTGCCCTGTTTGCAAAACAAGGAAGGGGCAATCCGTAGTCTCACCAATCAAACAACAGAAAAACTAGGGGCTCTTTCCCTGGTAGCAGAGAAACAGCAAGGCTAGTCAAGAGCAAGGGGGAAGCTAACTGGCTTTGAGGCTCTGCGGTGTTATGCTGAAATTACAAATAAAGTAGCACGAAAGCACAATCATGCAAAGGTAATGTTGTGCAAAGAGAGAGAGGCAGATTGTGTTATATAGATCTGGGCAGCACCCTTTCAAATCATAGCAAACCACACTTCCCTCAACCTTATGGTGCAATTGGCTCGAAGCAGAATCCACAAATTTACTCTGGGGTTCTGGTCCCTAGCAACAATTTGTAGGCATGACAGCTGGTCAGGAAATAGAATATATGCTGCTGCTTCTTTTTTTACCTGATGAAAAATGTCGACCTTTTGTCTCTCTTCCTATTCAAGGAAGACATTTTATTTTAATCTTTTAGAAACTGGACGTTTTCCGGTTTCTGATGTGCTGTGCACACTGTGTCCATGGAAATGATGCACAGCCAAATGTGCAGCAGAATGGAAACAAAGCTCATCAACATTGGGTTCAAAAATAGCCAAAATAATAGTTCTGAACTGTCAGGTTCTTGGGCGGGGGGGACTAAACACAGCAATTATTTAAAGAAATGGGTTTATTTAAGGGCACCATTTGAAATGCGTGAAGGTGGCTCCAAATGTTCCAACGAAGGATGGAAGTGCTAATGTAAAAAGAAGATAATGGCAGCGGTTAAGTGGTTTGCAAATAAAGAGTACATGCAAAATAGTGATTTATTGCAATCTGTTGGTTTCCAGTAGCAATCGGAGGGGGTTGGAGGGGAGCACTAATTGGCACAAACAGTGAATTACAAACTAAATATGCAAATGACTGCTTTTTCTCCCACTGAATATACAGATACAGGTGCAGGAGTTCCAGGATCGTGGCAACAGCTCCACGAGAGAAGTAGGGACAATTACTAAAAGTATAACTTCCTCCTTGACATGCTCCCACTAGCCCAGTTTTTGTGTGAATTGATGAAGACTGGTTAGATTCTACTATTAGAGCAACAAAAGCTCAGTCTTCCTTTGCACCTGGCTGCTCAGTGCCAAATTAGACGCTGCATGTGTAAGTTTGTAACAAACTCCTAGTGGCCCTTTCATATCCACCCACCTGCAGAGAATGCAGCTTTGTGAAGTAATGATGTGGTGTTGGGGCCAATGGGTGCCTACCTCTTTCCTTGCCAGCCACCTCTCCACTCTACATTGACCTCCAAGCTGCTTTATCATCTGTAGGATTTCAAAGGGGTATTTGCCCCTGCAAATATGCATTGGGAGCCTTATGGTAGGATCACAAAAAAAAAAATCTGCTTTATATATTCAGACCATTGATCCATCTAGTTCAGTATTGTCCACATTGGAAACAGTTCTTCAATATTTCAGAGAGTTGTGAGCAGGGCTGGGCAGCCCATAAGGTGGCCTGAGGCAGCTGCCCTGGTGGCAGAATCTGCCCCACAGATGCCCCATCTGCCCCTGCTGCCGCTGGAGAAGTGAGGAGAAGAGGCAGCAGCTTCTGGTGAGATCTCGTGAGATCTTGTGGAACTCTCATGAGAATTTGCCGGAAGCCACCACCATGCAATCCTGGTAAGAAAGGCTTTGATGGGGGAGGAGGGGGAGTGCCTCAGGTGGTGAAATGGGATGGGTCTCCCCTGTAGTGGGGGATTTAATGTGGGATAGTTCCATGTAGGCAGCTTGCTATAACAGAAACTGACTGCAGGCTGAGATTTTTTAGGCCTTTGACTCCGGACTGCTTCTCCTAGGCTCTGCCCCTATGTGGAGAACTTCAAGTTCTTAAAGGCTGAACCCTCTGGCTTGAAGAAAGGTGCTTCTCTTCCATTCTGTGCCCTCCTGTCTGATGTGTGCCCTGCACTGCTGGACCAGTGAGGTAGTGTGGGAGGCATTTGGTTCCTCAGGCTCATGGGAGGGTGCCCTTGAGGATTCTGGCTCTGGTTCTACAAGCCCTGGTGTAATGAAAGGTTCTTCTGGGGACTTCTAGTGGTCTCCTGATGTTGAGCAGTCTATTTAGAACCCTGCTCCTTGATCTAGCTCCTTAGCTGGTGCCTCTGCAACCTCCAGTTCTATGTCTGAATTGTTGCTGGATTCAGGGATCATAACACCTTGTGCATCTGTAGCCATGCAGTTGTTATGACACAATTTCCTTTATTGTTCTGCATTTGAACATGTGATCTGGACCAGTATGTATATTGGGATGGAAAGCCTGTGGTCCTCTAAATATTGTTGGACACCAACTCCCGTTATCCCCAACTAATGACCATGCTGACTGGGGCAGATGAGAGTTAGAGGTCTGCAACATCTGAAGGGCCACAGCCTCCCTATTTCTGATCTAGATAGAACATGATCCAGGAATAGAACTGAAACCCACCTCATCCATGTTAAAGGTGTAATTACATCAGATACTTCTCAGGTTTGTGCTCTTGTGTGCAGTCAAAAATGTGCATTGTGCACAATGTGGTGCAACATTTCTTGCACTAGCTTTTCAACTTTTCATGTGAGTACTGCAGCACATCCTGGGAGACCCTGTAGCACCTGAGCAGGTGTGAGATCAAGATTCCTGGGTGCAATGAAAATTTTGGATTTTTGATGTACTAAATTAAAGTACTCCCCCAAAACTCCACAGAGGAATGTCATATAAATGGCACCATGCTCAGTTCTTTTTCAACTTCCATGCCCTAATACATCTGGGTAATAAATGCACCAGAAGAATTAGTTTTTAGGTGCTGTACAATATTGGTTTCAGATCCTGCACAATTTTATTAGTACATAAAGGCTTGGTTTAGAATTAAATCTGACCCAAGAGCAGTACTTGAATAATGCCAAAAGCACTTTTAAAAAAATTAATTAAATCTCAGGATAAAAATGAGCAAAGCTTCTAAGTACTTGGACCATGCTTCATTAAATTTGTTCAACAAAGAGCATTTAATAATTAAAAGGCTCTTGAATGTTTACATAAATCCTCCTTGTGATGTGGTATTGCTGTCCAGTCAAGTCGAAAACTGGTTTACAGCAGCCCCTTAAAGTCAGGCTCCCATAGAGTGAGAGTGACAAACCATGTTCTTAGCTCTGTACAACCTATCAAGGTTTATTAAGGAGCTCAGCGCACCAATGGGAATTGACCAGATGAGCTTATTAGGTCTTTTATAAGATTAGGGACTGTGACACAGCTGTCTGATTCTTCTCTTCCCCTCTGTGAAGCTTATGGAGGAAAAGAAAAAGGGGGGAATTACAATAATACTAATAGGAAAAGCAATATGTTTCTCTGCCAAGAGCTTTCTCATCAGGGGACAAATGGTAAGGAGGAAAGATGCAAAACCCTCATGCACATTCCCGTACTTGAATGACTAGATTTCTGAAACACAGCTATAAATTTACAGCATAGCTAGCAATATTGAACAGCAATTTAAAACTCCTGGAGATTTGGTTATAAATGCAGTAGGTTATTTCCTTATAACAAGCCAGTGGTGTTGGTCAACTGTTTTAAAAGCTTTCTGTCAATACCCCTGGGTTTTGATGTTATCTGGTAGCTAGAGAAGAAAACACAACCAAGGTCTCCCCAAGTCCTTGTTTCAGCTCAGGACAATGCATCAGTTCACATGAAACACAATTTCATAATTCCATTGATGATGATGAAGAAGAAGAAGAAGAAGAAGAAGAAGACGAAGAAGAAGAAAGTCAGCATTGTGATGTGCCAGCGAGCACAGGTCAGCTTTCTCAAATGGATCTTGAGATGCTGCCCACAGGTGTTGGGAATAATGGCACCAAGAAGCAAGAAGAGGTAACACAGGAGCACACAAGCCCCACGCTCACAGAAGTGGAAATGGCTGTGTGTGAATCCACTTGGCATGTGAGCAAAGAAGTCTGTGAAGGTTGTCTGGGTTGTGTTCCAGCACTTTGCATCTTGAGTCATCCAGTTGCCATTTCCCGAGGAGCATGAATTTGAATGCTACACAAACAGTGCACTCCTGTGTGTGTGTGTATACTCAGAAGTAAGCCCCCGTTGAGTTTAATGTGGTTTATTATTGAGTGGCTATAGGACTGCAGCTTTAGGCTCTCAAACCATTAGAAGAAGTCCAGAGTCAATTCCCCTGCCTATACAGTTGCTCTGATGACTTACTTTCTGGAATATGAATGGCCACTGAGAAAAGAGGTGGGTTTTTTATTAGGCAAAAGATGTAGTTCCAGATACACTTTACTGCATCACATTCCTGCTTCATTATCTCAATTCTAGCAAGCAAAGTCCTAAGCAATATAATAGCAGTTTCAGATGGTGTGCAGTTTTGCCTGTAAATTGCAGATTTATGAACGTTTTTCAGCTGACTTGCTGAATAACTAATAAGTGCTTATTAATCATCAGCCATCAGATCATATTTTGCTCTCCCTATATACTGCTTTCCATGTTCTAAACAGGGAACCAGCTTTCTATTTCAGCTTTTAGAGCAAGGGTAGGGGACCTGCAGCCCCGCCCCCCAAACATTTTTGAATTCCAGCTCCATCATCCCTGCCCACTGGCCACACTGGCTAGGGTTGAAGGAATTTAGAGTTCCACATGAGAAGAGCCACAGGTTCCCCATTCCTGCTTAAGAGCCCGGGTTACCAAACACTTCTTTGTTGTATTATGCTGCGTTACATGGCTATTCTGACTAACATATTTAACAGAGGAGGGGTGGTAATATTTTTAAGTGCTTTCCATTTTGTTCTTACCGGGTGTTATATTTCAGCTTGCTGTGCCTTGTCCCTAAATTATGTGTGATGAAGAGTGAGATAGAAATCCCATAAATAAAAACAAAATAATCTGGTATTTGGCCCAGTGTTGCCAAACTATAACTCTTACCAAACCTGGCTATTGGTCATGCTTGCTGGGGCTGGTGGAAGTTGTAGTAGAGTGGCATCGGGATGTTCAAAGGTTTCACATTCCTGGTGTAGAGGACTGGAAAACCTATAGTGGGACACATGGACATCACTTTTGTGCAAGATTCTTTGCAGCTCTGGCTGGTTAAGCTGCCACAATCATGTCCATCCGACCTCGCCAGAGAGTGCCGCTCAGCCTTAACTGTGACCATAATTTCTGGCATGTAGATTCTCATGGTGGAAAAGGCCACACAAACCTGGATTGGAAAGTCACATGTGGTATCTGGCAAGTCTATGGCCAATCACATATATTTTTATTTTATTTTTTGTCATGCTTTAGGATGGTTCCAAGAAAGGTGGTGGTAACTCTTCTGTTCCTCTACATGGTAGCCATGCTGGCTAAACAGAGTGAAGGGTATCTCGCCTTCTACACTCCTGATGACTTCAGAAAAATGCAGGTTGGTATCTGGAAAACAGTGTGCCAGTGCTCAGGAAATGCCACAACTCAATGTTAACATGCATGATTTGTATACAAAAGGTCCCAGGTTCAGTCTTGGGCATCTCCAGACAGGGCTGGAATTAAGTTCCTGTCTGAATCATCAGAGAGCTACTGCCAGTCTACTGAATTTCGTATGTTCCTATGACAGAATTAGAAAGAGTACCAGGAAGTCTTATATGCTCACCATTCTGCAACAGTTTCTCCACCTCCTGCTTGGCATGATCCATGGTGATGTCCACCACCAATGGAAATTCTGGCCCAAGCCCACAGTAGTTCAATAAGCCCAGGAACAGACAGAAAATTAAGGCAAGGTCAGGACCCTGGATAAGGGTGAAGCTGCTGATTCAGAACCATGGACAGAAAATGCAAGCTGTCTCAGCAGTGTTTTAGAACAGCTGGCAAAGTTCTACAGTCTGACCCACATAGTCCATGAGTGCCAGATCTTGCCAGTTAAAACGCCAGTGCCTTTTGCTGCAGCTGTTGGCTTTTTCTAGACAGTGGGGTTTCAAGCTCTGGGGACTGCTTTGGAGAAACCTCATCGAGGCTCTCCTGACCCTCAGAAGAGCCTGTGATCCAGTAATCAGAGTAATGTAGCAGTGATATCTTCTCGGGGTTCAAGGAATGAGATGTGGACCCCAGTGCCATCGGACCATGGAGTGGAACAAGCTTCTCCTTGGAAATGATGTTGTAGGAAGTCTTTGCATCTGAAGAATTTTGGTTCAGGGCAGTGACACTGCTCAAGCAGTGAGCTTTAGCCAGATTTTGTTGACAGTGATGCTGTGACCAGTTGCTATTGCCTGTCACCATTGTTATATTCATTTGAAATGGCAACATAGCCAACTTGGTTCTCATACAGTGACCCACCCCAAAGTGCCATTCTTAATATCTCTTGTCGTTTGGCCCTAGGAGAAAGAGAGGAACCGAGCACAGAAGAAATCTCTGACTTTGCAGCAGCAATCAGACACAGGAGATTTTCCTGAGCTGTCAGAAGATGAAGGACAGATCATCAAGGTAAATTGTGCTCCAAATTATGCGAACCATTACACTGATGACACCCAGCTCTATTTCTCTTTTGCACCTTAATTATGAGAGGCCGTGACTTTTTTAAAACAGTACCTAGATGCAGTGGTGGGCTGGATGAGATTGAATCCTGGTAAGACAGAGACTATATGAGTGAGTCTGTGGACTACAACTGGGATTGGACCGGAAGCTACAGATGGTGCAGAATGCTGCAGCCAAGTTGCTGAATGAAGCACATAGATGTGCACAAATGATACCTGTGCTTGGGGGGGGGGGGTCCAAACTTAGTTGAATACCATTCATGAACTTTTTGTCCTGGCTTTCCCTGAACCATAAGGTTATACTCTGTTTTATGTGATTCAATTCCCTTTATTTTTGCGTTATTTGCTTTTCTGTGGTTTTAGGCTGCTACGTTTTAATGATACTGCTTGTTTCTTGTATTGTATACCACTTAGAGATTTTAAAAGTATTAAGTGGCTTACAAATGCTTTCAAACAAACAAACAAGACAGGTACAGGCAGGTAGTTCTTCTAACATATGAGACAAAGCATCACACTGATTAGCAGGTAAAATAATGATGAAGAGGCAAGCTTATTTCAATTCTCATTGGGCAGAATCTCTGCTTTCATTGGTAAAAATTCACTGTTGTCCTCACTTCTCTGTAACGTTTTATTATTAATTTGTATCATCCATCCAACGTCTTGCAAGATTGCAAGATTCCAAGGGAATCTGTGGGACAATCTATCAATTTCATACAAATGCTATTATTACAACAAACTGTTATAAGAATTTTAAGGTCATATATTTAAAAAATGTTCATAAGGGAAAAGGAGCTTGTTTTTTTACTTATATCAAAACTATCACTTAGTCCCTAGAATGGCACTAGAGCTGAATGAAAGAGAAAATATCAAAAATCACTAGTAAAATATGACTGTTATTTTCCTCTTATTTGAATGAAGTTGACTCATTCCCTTAAACAATCTAAATGAAAGTAGGAAAATGGCTTGAGAACAGTCTGAAATACCGGTTTATATTTGTTGAAATGTTGTGCCTACATAAAAGGTGTGTGCTCTAATGTGTTGTATACAGCTGAAATCCTAACAGGATGTGATACAGTCAAGTCAACTAATCACACATACAAATTGGCCTTTTTAAGAATTACAAAGCTACAAAGGCTTCAGGAGCTGTCCTGCCTAGCTACTATTGTGAATTACAACTTGGTTTAGGAAATTGTCTCCCCCAACCACCAGCTTACTGATTAACTGCAACACTTGCTTCAGATCTACAGTTTATGCATCTCTCATCTACTTCATTGTTTAGTCTCCTTTATAATCTTTAATATATTTTATGTTCATATTGTGATGTGAAGTTTCCACTAACTCTTCCAGAAGCAACACTATGTTAATGGCAAACCTCAAAAATGTAGACAGGTGTCTTGAGCTTCAAGGCCAAATTTACCTCCACATCCCTCTCACTGATCTTACTGCAAGCAAAGGTGTTCTGAAAATGGAAATGGCTGTGGCTCAGGAGTAGAACAAAAAGTTCCAGGTTTAATCCTTGATGTTTTCAGGCGGGGCTGGGAGAAACCCCTGCCTAAAGCCATGAAGAGATGCTTTCAGCCAGTGTGGACAATACCAAATTGATGGACCAGTGGTCTAACGCAGGATATTGTGGCTTCCCATGTCCCTAAAGTATAGGTACTACCCTCTGTTCAGTATTGGCATGCCTCAGTAAATGAAGACTTATTTGTAGCTAAGTAATTTTATAAATTAAGCTTGTCCAACCACTCAAGACCTGTGATCAAGTTCCCATCCATCTCAAATTTACCACACCAAAATCTTCATTATTCTAATCCATTTAGCTGGATTGCCTATTGGAAGTGCTTTAAAATCATGAAACTGGGTAGCGTTTGGGAGTTTATATTATTTAAGTTTGCTCCCAGAAGTCTTATCCTGCAGTTCTGTATTTCAGGAATTTGTCTGCATCCATGCAGACCGGATATTTCCTTATGTGACATTCTTGACATATTTTAATTTAAGGCCTATGGTTCAACCACAATCCAGATCAGAGTTCCACTGATTTCACATGGTGCTGCTCATGGTGTACTGGACTGCAGCGTTCAGCTTTTAAAAACTTGATAAATTGTCAAGACTTACAAGATGAGAAACAACTGGCATTGGCTTTTGCAACCTCCCTTTCAACGAGCGACTTAACCCTGCTCCACAGGTCACAAAGTCAAATGCTAAAATACTGGATCAGGAAATACCTTCAAGCAATAACAAATGATCCAACACTAATGATTCCTTCAGCGTGTGTGAGGCAGAAAGTTGTGGAAACATTGCTTTTTCTTTGCATGTTAACCCTACTTTTCTTCACAGCTGATTGCTCCAGTAGAAATAGGAATACATCTGTCCAAACAGCTGGAAAAATATCAAGATGTCCTGAAGGAACTCCTAACAGAGATGTTACCCGATACTCAGAATGGTACGATATTATCTGTCTCTCCCTTTCCTTGGAAGTCCTCGGCACAGAAATTCCAGGAATAGCTTTTGTGTCGTGTTGACTCGTTTTTAGAAAACTCCTGACCAAAGATCATAAATCCTTCTTCTATCAGCAGTGATTGCAGTCAAGAAAAAGTACACCCCAGCGACATTTTTCATTGGCACAATGCTTCTCCACTTAGGGCTCATCCACGTGGCCTTTTGTCCTACTGCTTTCCTCCAGGGAAAACCACTCCTTTGGCACTCAATCAGAGCAAACAGCAATATGGGTATCCACTCGATTGACATTTGCTCCAATTTAGCACTAAAGATCAGGTTTTCCTTGAGTAAAGGAGTGAGGCAAGGGGGAAACCACTCAGACCCATGCCTAGGTAAAAGGTAAGGTAGAGGACCCCTGGATGGTTAAGTCCAGTCAAAGGCGACTATGGGGTTGCAGCGCTCATCTCGTTTTCTGGCCAGGGGAGCCAGTGTATGTCCACAGACAGTTTTCCGGGTCATGTGGCCAGCATGACTAAACCGCTACTGGAGGACCATGACAAGTGCCAGAGAGCATGGAAACACCGTTTACCTTCCCGCCACAGTGGTATCTACTTGCACTAGTATGCTTTCAAACTGCTAGGTTGGCAGGAGCTGGGACAGAGCAATGGGAGCTCACCCCGTCATGGGCATTCAAACCGGGGATTCAGCAAGCCCAAGAGACTAAGTGGTTTAGACCACAGTGCCACCTGCGTCAGGTTTTCCTTGGGTAAAGGAGCGAAGCAAGGGGGAAACCACTCAGATCCATGCCTAGAAAGTATGGGTCAAGCAAAAAAAAACCTGCTTGACCTGTGGCAATACATCAGCTACTGGAAAATCGTATATGTGACCAAAAAAAAACCCCACCCTACCATTGTTCTGTGCCCATTTTTATCAACTGTTGAGTTGCTCTCCTATATTGCACTTCTGTGGCAAACCTGGAGTTTTGTGTGATTATGATACGCAATGAATCAAGGGCTTCAGACTGGACTATGCATTATTTTCATGTGAGCTATTCCTGTTTCTCTCTGGAACTGATAATAGACTTGGAAATGAATTACACTGTGGGCTTGTAAAAAGATATTGCTGTTAATAACTCTTTAGGATTGCTTATCTTTCAGCCTTGAAATCAAAGGGAGTTTATGTACATGAGCTTGGGCACGATCAGAGAGCCTCATCTCGCTGAAAAGTTCCAAGCTATGCAAAGCGAAAATGGGGAATTAAAATACTAGTCCCAGGATTCTACTGAATAGCTAAAGACATTTGGATAGGATGTGACAAAATATTCAAATTACCTCTGCATCCGTAACTGGAGCCAGGTACTCAAAGACATGTGCCAACTTAGCTCTTTTGAAAATTTAATTAAAATCTCAGAATATCGTAATCAGAACTGCCAATAGCCTAATAGAGTAGGATTGTAGTCTGTCCTACACATGTGGGTGAGCAGGGCTTACTACTGCTGTTTGAAAAGGCAGAACAGTTTAACATCATAGACATGTTTAGCCATTCCCCCAGAAATGCAACATCTTAAAACACACATGCAACTCCCCACCCCCATGTCTCTGCACATGTTCCTCTTTAGACCGCCAGGCAATTAACACAAAGGTCTGTAGAGGGTTTCAAAGTGCATTTAGTTGAACACACTAAGAAACCTCCCTACCCTCAAGAACACTATCTACAGTTTATGACCTCATTTGTTCCAGCAAACCTCTGAATAACACCATGTAATTATCACAGAGAATTGTTACGATAATCTACTTAGTTTCAAACCATTTTTATTGTTGAAACCACCTTTTGTTTCTTCATTTGATGGATTAAGAAAATCCAAATTTGATCTTGTACAGTATCGATTCACAAACTTACATTGTTGTTTCTGTCTCCTCTCTTTATAGTTAATTGATGTTCTCGGAATGAGAAGACAAGAGCAAAAGACTAAACTGCAAATTTGCAAGATTCCACTTAACAGAAAGGCTGTCAGGAGTTGGGGGGAATACTTATGCAAGATAATAAAGCATGAAACTTAAATATATGATTAGTTTGTTCAAAGTTCATTTGAAAAGATTGACCCAAATGACATCTGAGAACATGAAAGGAAGATGTCACTACAAGTCACTCTGCATATGTAACATACATTAACTTCCTTCCACCAACATCAAAATACTTTGCAAATCCCAAGCAATTAAGAGCTTGTCCTCTGTACCATTCTCATGGCCTAATGTATTATGCTGATTATAATGAGGCATAAAGCCCTAGTGTCGGCAACTTCAGGAAGAGAGGAAAGCTTGCCTGTGCATATTTGTGCATATTTACAGTTGGACGCGGGTGGCGCTGTGGTCTAAACCACAGAGCCTAGGGCTTGCTGATCAGAAGAATGGTGGATCGAATTCCCATGACGGGGTGAGCTCCAGTTGCTCGGTCCCTGCTTCTGCCAACCTAGCAGTTCGAAAGCATGTCAAAGTGCAAGTAAATAAATAGGTACCGCTCTGGCGGGAAGGTAAACAGTGATTCCGTGCTCTGCTCTGGTTCGCCAGAAGCAGCTTAGTCATGCTGGCCACATGACCCGGAAGCTGTATGCCGGCTCCCTCGGCCAATAAAGCGAGATGAGCACCGAAACCCCAGAGTTGTCCGCCACTGGACCTAACGGTCAGGGGTCCCTTTACAGTTGTGCTAGTAAATGGAGCTTGAGTCCTGAACCCATCCTGACATACCATTCTTATTTCTCAACTCATGTATATGCTCTAAAACAGCTTTGCAGGCCACCAAAGTGCCACATCTTATCAGTGCCAGATTTACGTATAAGCTAAATAAGCTATAGCTTAGGGCCCCACTCTCTTGAGGGCCCCAAAAATTACCATATAGCATATATTCAACACAAAAAACAGTGACAAGTTGTTGTTGAAAAAGGAAAGCTGAACATATAATGGGCCCCATTACCTTCAGTAGCTTAAAGGTAAAGGGAACCCTGGCCATTAGGTCCAGTCGTGGCCGACTCTGGGGTTGCGGTGCTCATCTCGCTTTATTGGCCGCGGGAGCCGGCATACAGCTTCTGGGTCATGTGGCCAGCATGACCAAGCCGCAGAAACGCCGTTTACCTTCCCGCCAGAGCGGTACCTATTTATCTACTTGCACTTTGATGTGCTTTCGAACTGCTAGGTTGGCAGGAGCAGGGACCGAGCAACAGGAGCTCACCCCGTCGCGGGGATTCGAACCACCAACCTTCTGATTGGCAAGTCCCAGGCTCTGTGGTTTTGACCACAGCGCCACCCGCATCCCTTTCAGTAGCTTAGGGCCTCATTATACCTAAATCCGGCCCTGTGTCTTATGCTCCCATTTGCAAATGCTGGACTAGGAAAGTCAAGTTGATTGGTCAGAGATATGAGGACCTAAAGTGTGGTTTGTCGTGGAAAGTGGATTCCATGCTTTCCTGAACTCTCATAATGCTTTACCAGTATTCTGAGTTAAATAATGAAAACTAACTAAAGGTTTTGAAAACATACCATACAATTTGCTGTCAAGAATCCACAACTATCCATCCCTGCCTATTTTCCCCACAAAGCACCAAGGTCCCATACAATCTCATTTTACCCTGCTTTCAGCCGAAACATTAGTGAGCTTGTTAGACTGTGGAACAGGGAAGTTAAGAGGGAAGAAAGAGGGTGTCACAGTTATGGAGAGATCTTTCATCCTTCACCTGGCAAGAGTCCTGACTTCTAAACTTTCCTTCAGCTAATAAGGAACATTGTCCTGCTTCCTGACTGATCCCATGAACCTTCACACCAGAAATAACTGTGTATGCTCATATTACATTACAGAGCTAGGGTATCACAGTGGTAGAATGTGCCTGGCTCAAATTTCACTGCAGCGATAAGCTCACTGCACCTTTAGGGAAACTGCTATTGTGCCAGCCTCCACACACAATCCTGCCCTGCCTTTACAAAACTATCTTATAAATTATTGAGCTACAATATGTGAACCATTTAAATGTGTGATACCAATGTTAACGAGTATCTTTGGCAGTTCAAGCTGACCCAAGATGTTATGTCAATGCCATCAGATGGGCTGACAAAAGGGCAACAGCTACCATCCTAAGATGTGGCATTGTGGTGTCATGCAAAGCTATTGCATAGTATGTTCATGGGTGTGGAGAGATAGGGCAGCATGTCAGAATGGATTCCAGGCTCAAGCACCTTTCCAAAGATATTTCCACTATTGTTGAGCCAGCTGAATCAACCCTGCACATCAGACTCTAACACCAAGTGGTGACCAAAGAATAGTTTTGCTTCTAGTGGCCAATAGTATAGCAGGACAAACCTCCCCTACTTGTCTCACAGTGGATGCCAAATACACGTTTTGAAATCAATTTTCACAGCTGTGTGCATTAATAATAATAATAATAATAATAATAATAACAATAAAATTACTTATACCCCACCCATCTGGTCAGGCCTACCCAGCCAATCCGGGTGGCTCCCAACAGAATATTAAAAACATGATAAAACATCAAACATTAAAACTTCCCTAAACAGGGAAGAATTGAGGTGTTATGTTAACCACGTGTGACTTTCCATGAACATGCAATTCACCAGAGTATCAACGCTATATCGTTATTACAAGCTCTCAGCTTTCTAGGCTTCCCTCATGTCTTCCCCTGCCAACATGGTTTGCCTGGTGTTATAGGATCTAGGAATGCACACTGGTGCTTATTTCAACCCTGTAAACAAATCTGCTGGGGGAAAACTTAGATATGCTTCAATTTTACATTAATTGCTAGCCACTTAAAGGCCTGACATTTGACGAAGAGCTGTCACTCTCTAGGTGGCACATGCTCTTAACAGCAGCAAGGTTTGAAAGGTGGAGCAGGGGAGAGAGAGAAGCACCGTGACAAATGATATGTGTGACACAGATTCAATTCCAATCCAATTTCGTACTTCCAAGTTAATGTGAATTCTTCTGTCACTCTGAATCATTGAGCGAGCTCAAGTATTGCTGCCAAAATGGCATACATGCCATTCGATCAGCTCTGCACTTTGCTATGGATGCCAGTCTCAATGAGAACCCTCCGAGGGTCTAATTGATTCCTATGGTCACCAATGGTGGACACCATTTCCATATTAACTGAATAGCATTCACATATATTTTCACTCTTCATTGTTAAGGTAATATGCATAAAAGGATTGCTTTGGCAAGGGGGGAACCAATGCAGAGAGAATTTGAACAGATAGAACATTTCTGGATTCTTTCCTATTGATATGGCATCACCCAGAATCTGCTTTTCTAGAGCACTTTTTCCTGGAAGTGAGTTGTTTTGAAGGATGCAACATGCATTGCAATACTGTATGCACACAGTTACAATGGGTCAGTGTCTCTGGCTGTTACCCAGAGGGTTGGTGGTTTGAGCCCACACAGGGATGGCTGTAGGCAGGATTCCTGCATTGCCGGGGTCGGACTACATGACTCTTGGGATCCCTTCAAATCTACAGTTCTATGGTACCTGCAAATAAGTCCCACTGAGCTTCAAGAGCCTAGTTTCAGACCAGACATGTGTGGGATTCTGCTGTTATAAATGCAGCCTAATTTGAAAAACAAAACAATATAATTTTCACAGTGTCCTTACCAGTCAACATAAATCTGAAATTATGGCATAGAAGAGCCTAATTTTTCCAAACATTTGGCTACAGTCAGTTCCTGCCACCTATTTTCCATTTCTGTATATAAACACACATTTTGTCTTCCATTCCCTGCCATTGCTTGTCTCTGATGCCTTCCTCTCTAATGAGCCAGAGCAGGAATCAGGTTGTATTCTCCATCTGTATGCAGAGCAGCCCATCTCACTGTTCAGAAGCCTTTCTTCCCACAGTCACCCCAATCATCAGCATTCAATTGTTCTCCATCGGCTCTAATCATTTATTTTTACCAGCAGCAGCTCATCCAGTTTCTGGGACGGCAAACTCCATTTGCTGTTCCAAGAATGCATGGCTAGCTGCAAACAGGCCTCCAAAGAGATTTATCACAATCCTGCCCCCTCCTTAGATGAGACTGGGACAAAAAGAGAGGGAAATGCCACTAATAAACTTTGGGCGGACCACAGGGCTAGTAATGAGGCGGAAATAAAAACAGAATCCCAGTTAATGCCAGCCTTTAAAATGTCATCAGCTGGAGCAAAAAAATCTAAATTATGACCCCATTATTTCTTAAAGAAAAAAAAGCTACTTAGAACAGATTAATAATAATGTACCAACTCAATAGTTTTGTTGATCAAATCCTAGTGCCTTAAAGAATTCTTCGTAATTGGCACCCAAGCATCTCTAAAATCCTGATTCCACACACCCACCCCATGACATATGATTCTTCTTATTCAAAAAGTGAACTCCTAGTCACAGGGGGAAGGCCAATAACTGTTAATAACTCATTCTCAAATTGCCCCCCTTAAAAATCAAATTGCCCCACATTGGGAACCACAGTTCTAGCCATCAAAACCTTTGAATAAGCATCTTTGGGTAACTCTGGAAATATCAAGGTACCATCAATGCCTATTATGTCAATGATGGCATTGTTTCACTTCAAACTACGTGTCAGGGAACTGCCATCGGACGGAAGGGAGGTGAAAGGGCTCACACAGGTTGGGAGAGACTCAGCAGCTGAAGAGGGAACCAGCAGGGAGGTGAAAGGGCTCACACAGGTTGGGAGAGACTCAGCAGCTGAAGAGGGAACCAGCAGGGGAGAGGAGCTGAGCGGAGGGAAAGTGAGCTGGAGGGATGGCTCAGAGACACTTCCAGCGAAAACAGTGGGGAGGTTTCAGGACCTCCTGTAAGAACACCCACTCCTCGCCGGAAACTGTCACGCAGAGAGTCCAGAAGACGTGTTTCCGTTAAGGAGCTTTTATGTTGGAAGCGATTACAAAAGCAACCACTGTCGGAATCTGCTAGTGACTAGAGGAGCCATGTCTGAGGGGCTCCGTCACAGACAGAGGTTTGTGGACTTGAACAAA